ATTAAAAGTGGAAAACAAACACATCAGACAGAAAATAACATGGAAGGGACAATAAAAACTCACTTGGCGTGTGGTTTCATCGACTCCGTCTTCGATTTACCGCCTTTCATATCGAATCCTGCAGGAATAAGATCAGATCAGCAACAATTTGGAGATGAAAGAAAGAAAGCACATGAAATTGCATCAGAAATCGAAGGAGATGGATGAAACGTACCGATGGAAGGAGGTTGGGTTAGGTGTAGGGTTTGAATAGGGAGGATGAAGCGGAGCTGCGTGTGAGAGAGAAGCAAAGAAGCGGTGCGAGGCGAGGAGGAGAGGGATAATTCAGTCCTTGAAGGACAGGAGGGCAAATTGAAATTCAATTGCGCACGAAATGAAACCAAGCAGGAATTTCGGCGGGATTTTTCATTTATTGCCAACTCAATAATCCGCGCACTCTTATGCCATTGGTCCACGTCATCGAGATCCTACTGCTCATATTCGTTGGCGGTGCGAGGGGCAAGTGTAGAGCATCTCTGAAAGCCCGTTTTTCCAATGTTGGGCCTCAAAAGAAGCTCGAAACAATCAAGCCCAGAGTGAAAACGAGTATAATGATGTGGGCCAGAAAATTACAAAAAAGCCCATATCCATAGAAAGGGCCCATTTGCGGTGCCTTCGTGCTCCAGCGTTTCTATTCCTTTGCACGCACGTTATACTGTCATGCGATTCGCACGTGCCTAGAAATCCCTGCATCGTCCGCCGTGAAAACTGAAATCGATTAACTCCCTGCGTTGGGTCCCTCCGAAAAAGGGAAGAACAATGGGCGAGGTTTCCAAATCGACGATGAAGAAGAGAAAGAAAAAGGGCCGTCCTTCTCTCTTAGATCTCCAAAAGCGGTTCCTCAAACAGCAGAAGTTGCAGGAACAGCATCAACAACCGCTTAACGCTTTCGACTTGGCCTCCAACCCTAAGAGTCCATCTTCTTGCCAGAATCGTAATGTTCACCCCGCGACAGAGCGCGTCACCGGCGGGGACGACGACGATGACGACGACGAGCGCATTGAGAAGAAGCACAAACCTTTACTTGGTTTAACTTCTCGCCAAAACTATCCAACATTGTCCGCTTATTCTTTACGTAAATCAGCCCCCTACGACGAAGATTCCGAGTCGGCACTCAAACGTCGCAGAATCGTTGCAGACCAGTTTGGATCTTCAGAAGTGGTGATGAACTGAATCTATTCGCTCGTCAAAAAATATTTTCAAGCATTGGCGAAAAGGAATTTGTTTCTTCTTCTTCTTTTTTTTTTTTTTTTTTTTTTTTTTTACCAACCAGTTTGAAAAAAAAAGGAAGAAAGAAAACCCCTTGCGTCAATGATTTATAAAATCAACCAGTTTTGTTTCTTTCCCTTTTTCTCGATAAAATCAAATCGTTGTATTATCCAAACGAGATTCAATGATTTGTGAAGTTTCGCGCGTAAATTGAAGATTCTGGCAAACTTTCTGTCAGATCGAAGTTTGTGGGATGTGTTTTACTCTGTTAAGTTTCTATCTTTTTTTTTTTTTTTTTTAAAAATAATAATTTGGGAGGATGGTAGTTTTAGATATATTTTACTTAATGGAATTCTCCTTTCTATAATTTATAATAAATTAATTGGATGAAGGGTTTATGAAACAAAATAATGCATTACAGTATCAACTTGAAAAGAATGAATTTGTCTTTTCTATAGCTATTATGATTTTTGTATTCATGTATCTCAAGGCTGCATCTGGAAGGGCTTTGCTGCAACTTTGTAGAGAGTTAAATAGAAATGCATTCCCACACTCCAAAGCTCTAATCTTGTTTGATTACTTTAATTTGCAGAGTGAAAAAACATGGAAAGCGACAGACACTGCGAATAATGGTATCTAATTCTCTTACTAAATGTCGATGATGATGATGATGTTGTTGTTGTGAACTTTATTTGGTGATACTATTTATAATGATGTGAGTAGGGTCGCAGGTGGAGTCTGGTCCCACGACAACTTTGCCAGACAAAAAGTTGTTGATTTTCATCCTCGATAGGCTTCAAAAGTGCGACTGTTCATTTGTTTCTTATCGTTTTCCCTCATTATTGTTTCCCATTTAATAATCGTTTTGAGTAGTGCTCCCTGTTTCCTTCCAGAAAAGACACCCATGGAGTCTTTTCCCAACCCGTCGATCAAAACGAGGTTCTTTTTTTTTTTTTTTTTTTTCTCTTCTTTTTTATCCGCAGTTTTTAGATTTAAAGCTCTAAACTTGATTCATTTCATTTTTGCTGCAGCTTCCCGATTACCATGTCATTATTGAGAATCCTATGGATTTTGGGACTGTGAGGGCCAAATTAGATGGGGGAGCATACTCAAATTTGGAACAGTTTGAGGTTGTAACCCAGACTTGTTTTTTGACTTGTAGATTGTGCATTCTGATTGCCCATGTCTCTGTCTTGTCTTCTAATTATTATGATATTTGGGTTGAGGAACTCTTCTACCTACCTCCACCACATCCATGTCAATGAACAGATACATGCAAAAATCTTCTTGATACATGCAAAAATCTTCTTTCTCATGCCATAGCCATAGCCATAGCCATAGCCGTAGCCATAGCCTCGAGGTTTTGCACTCCTAAGAAGTTTTGAGCTCCTTAAAGTGCATGGTTTGGTGCCTGTTCGGTTTGGAGTTCTAGTCACTGATATGCAAGGTCTTAGTCTCGATGGGTTTCGATTAAGATCTGTGCTAATCTCTCATTATATAGATGGGACTGATGCCATTCTTTGGACATGATTTTTTCTTGTCTAAAAATCTGACTTAAAGCTTGAGAATTTACTTAAATTTTAATTTGATAGGTTCACTTTGTTGTTTTGCTCTATATCCCTTGTTTCTGAAAGAATATATTTGATGTTGATTTTTAAGTGATTTGACTTTTTTCTATCATTTTAATCTCGCAGGAAGATATTTTTTTGATATGTTCAAATGCGATGAAATATAACGCTTCAGATACCGTTTTCTTCCGTCAGGTTTAGATAAGCTCAGATTGGTGCTTTTGGATGTTATGGGGCTTTTAGATTAGAATGATTCTTGGATTTACTGTTTATATGATTTAAAGTTTACTTAAATCTTAGGCACGATCCATACAAGAACTTGCGAAGAGGGATTTTGAGAATTTGAGGCGAGAAAGCAGTGATGAAAGTGAAGCAGAACAGAAAGTTGTGAGGAGGGGTAGACCCCCAGGAAAGAGCCAGAAGAGATGTCTGGGAGGTCTTGGTAGTAACCCTCTTGAAAGCATCATTGGGGCAGAGTTGTGCTCAGGTGCTACTCCTGCTTCTGGCGATGATTCCATCAACGTCAATGGCTACAATTTGAGAAGGGCACGTTCTTCCTTCAGGCCCCTGCCTGAAGATCCTCCAGTTAGGACATCCGCACCAGCTCAACATGGCGAAACTTTGGCCAGCTGGTTGCCTGAATGGAAAAATGAATTTCCAGGTTTCTTTTACTCAATATTTTTCCTACAGTCTTTACAGTTTTGTCCAACATATATCTTTGACTTCTATCCAATTGTTTTCAGCTTCAGTTTTGAAGGGTGTTCTTAAAAGTGGGAAGAATGATAATATGGCTGTGGATGAGAATAGACGTCATACCTATGGGAATCATTCACTCTCCTGTGGGAATTTGTCATCTGTCTTTGGTAACCTTGATGGAGACTTGAAGCAACTAATTACTGTATGTGGTGTCACTCTTCATTCTCTGTTGCTATTTAATTTAATGTTTTTGTTGGTAAATGTAATGTTTATGATGAATATCAACAAGCAGGTAGGTTTGCATGCTGAGCATGGTTATGTAAGAAGCCTAGCTCTGTTTGTAGCGGATCTTGGTCCTGTAGTTTGGAAGATTGCATATAAGAAAATTGAAAGTAGTAGTCGGGAGCTTGGGCGAGTACTGATACAGGAGATTGAAATGCTGAAGCAGCAGCAGCGCATGTTGCCTGCGGATGGAGGAGGCTCAGCTGACACAAAAACAGCAGCGGAGAGCTTTATCTGACTCGCTCAAACATTGGTTGGTATTTCGAATAACTTCTTTGGAACAAGGCGAAGATGTTGAAACTGACAGAGTGAGAATTTCCCAAAGCGAGACAATAGTGCGAAGATGGTGATTTCTTCCCCCCCATCATTTTTGACAAGAAATGAGAATGGCAAAGACTTGATGCCATTATTGGTGGGGAGTCGTCCTGTTCAAAAGACTCCTTCAGTGCCTTGTCAAATGCATAGTGCTTCTTTCCAAAGCCCTGCGCTGCTGGTGCTGGTGATCTGGATGATTTACTAAGCCAAGCTGAAATGCTGAAACTTGCAGCAGAAGATGTGGGTCAGATCAAAACACAACAAGAGCAGGGGCTTGGCAAGAATTATCAACCAACTCAATTCTGTGCATTCAATTATCAGCTCATTTTGGATTAGGCGTATACGAGTAATGCTGCAGATTTTTTTCACACTATACCATACGAGTAATGCTGCAGCTCTGTACAGATAAAGTAACTTCAGTGTCTCATTTTCTCCATCTTTAGACCATAGGGAGTTGTGCAATTACTTACAAAATGGACGGACCTCATTTATCTGTTCACCTGGTCAAATCGATAATCGAATAGACTCAGAAATTTTTAATACAAAAACATTGACTTTTGCCGTCTGATGTCTCTCATTAACTACGCTGAGAGGGAATTGGGGTTTTGCTGCTCTCTCTTAAATCATGTGCTATCTTTCGTTTCAAATTCTGTCCTTTTCCTTCTTGATGGGGCCCAGCCCCCCCTACCCTGGGCTTACTTCTTCTTCCTGTACAAACTACAAACGAAAGATTCATCTACGCCTCAATTTCATTTTCTAAACAAAACCATCCACTTACTGACATGAACAACTTAGCTTCTGTCCATGTTCCAGTTGGCTCATCGAGCCTTATAATAGGTTGAATGTCCTATCTGTTATAACTAACAAAGGGGCAATCTTCAGAAAAACACATTTCAGAGGGTAAATTGAAAAGCCATCCTTGATACAGGGCATTTGTAAGCTTTCTTATTTGAAAGTTCATCAACATGAACGGAGGTCAGCATCTTCTTTGGACTTTGTTAAAGTTCAAGACCTGCTCTGAATTATCTAAAACTAGTAATCTGCACCTCAAATGTCAAGGCCAGCATTATAATACCCCATTTCTACAAAATATTGAAACTAAAAAATTTTAATACATGTTGGAAGCATGTCATTCTTCTGTTCTTCTTGCTTTCATTCTTCATGATAGAGATACAAACCCAGGCCAAATCTTGCACAAGCCTTGCAAAAAGCTATTTCCTCCGCAGCAGCTACAGGATCTTCAATATTGCTATCAGTGGCTGATACTGTTCCAGTCGATTCACGGTGTGCCTCTCCATCAGATCCTCTTACAGTCACACGATAAACCACAGTCACGCTACCATTGTCAGAGAATATGACATCTCTTATTTCTCCACACCATCCAGGGGCATAGAAACTCAGCATCCTATTGGCATGAAACCAGGGGATGAAAGTAGCAGGAGGACGATTCTGGGGGTCAGAATGAGGGACTTTTGGAGCGATGTTATCGGGGATTCTCTTGTTAAGATCGCGGAGGATCTCAGCAAGGGGACGAGTGATGCAGGATGAGTTGGCCGGGGAAAAAGATTTATTGAGTGGAACAACATAGTTGGTGTTAGGTACTCCCTTCTTACCACTAGCATCACTGCTGGAGCAGACGAGATGAAGATGGCGTCTCGTAGCAGTAGAAATTTGGGGGAGTCGAATCTCACTAACAGAGTAGGAAGAGGGAAGAAAGGAAAATGCAGGGAGGCGAGGGCCCAAGAGCTGGGAATGGGCATAGGTTTGGAGAGCCATAAGAACAATGAAGCAGAGAACCGACGACCAACAGCAACTTAAGTTCAACTCAATTCCCTCGTCCACCCACAACTACCTGTCAATATGCCTGAAGTTTACCAAATACCTAGCAACAAGAGTTTGGGATCCAAGCATTCAATTTGGGCTCTTGATGAACGGGATGAAGATGATCCACACTGGTGATGACACAAATCCACCTGATGACGAGCTTGAAACAGCGGTATTCAATTAACAACTACAAAAGAAAATATTCTTAGAAAGAATAAATTTTAGACAAAATCTAGACCCAATCAAGATCAACGAGAAAACAAAACACTATTTGTTAAGAAAATCTAGACATGCACTAGTAGAATGCATGCCCGTTGAATTAAATTTTTGCAAAATATTGTTTTCTAATTTAACATTGATCGAGAGAAACTAATAACGCTGATGCCGTACATAGAAAATCCGTTTATATTGCATAAAAGAATTATATTATGATGACCCCGATTAGAAAATTATTCCGGAAAATTGTGGAAACCATATAGGATTGGGGAGCTTGGGAAATTACTTATGAAGGATACCGCACATTCTCTTAGGAAATTACATATAAAGGATATGCATGCCGGGGTCCAACTGGTTATTTCAGCGTGAGTTAATTTCAAGCAGGTTTTGTTGGACACAACTGAAAACAAATGTCTCAAATCTCGTTGTTACATTTGCCCAACCGCAAAAGGAAATCACAAGGCACAGGGCACATTCCTTTACCTACTCCTTAAAATATTTGGGAAGATTTATCCATAAATTAGATCTTAGGATTTCCTACGACTCAGGATTTAATCCTATTTTTGTTGACGACTTTAGTAAAATATCTCACTTTATCCCATGTAAACAAAAATGGGGATGCTGTTTATATTGCAAATTTGTTTTAGGAGGTGGTAAAACCCCATGGTACTCCCGAAAACAGTTGTTTCAGACAGTGATGTCAAAAATTTGAAGTAATTGTTTACAAACATTGTGAAAACGTTTAATACCATATTCATCCACAGAATGAAGATGATCAATAGAACTTTGGGCATTTTATAAGGTGCTTCAGCAGCCAAAAATCATAACAATGGGACATAACACTGCCCCAAGCTGAGTTTGTTGCTCAACAGGGAAGTGCCCATTTGTAATTGTTCATACTAAATTTCCTAGACTAACTATAGCCCTGTCTAAATTTCCCACCACTATTAGAATCGGAAGAAAAGATTGCATAAAGACATGAAGAGGTTACACAAAAATTGCAAATCAACAACCAAAAGAAAAAAGCAGATGCAGATGTGAACCTCAAGGAATTCGGTGAATCTCAAATAATCACGATTTCCAAAGTAAAGAATAAAAGAAGGTTGGAGAAAACGCTTACACTGCAATTACCCAGATGGTTATAGTTCAACACAACCTTCAATAAATCCAACCTCCCTGGATATTTCGCTGCTGACGATTTTCGTATTCCGGATCCGATTAGATCTGCCCGCGTATGATAGATCTGTAATGGTTTCAAGATTAAAAAACAAAAATGTATCAATATCTCAAAAGTTCAGAGAGTCGGAAAGGTAAAGATCACTTACAAAAAAGTTTCTTGTTGGAGCAACGGCGGGATCTGTCAATTTTGATGAAGTAATTAGGTCAAAACACCGCGTGGCGGGGTCTCTGCAACTTGATGGCAGCGCGGTTTTATCTCTCTAAACGAAACTCGCCGGCGAATAATGTCAGGTAGGTAGGTAGTTGCAGTTGGGCAGAACAAGAGTTTCTTGTGATGGGCTTTTATTGGGCCTTGACTTCAGAGGCTTTATTTTTCAGTAATTGGGCTGAAATATATTGGGCCACCCATGTAAACCTGGTCCCAGACAGCCGAACAATGAATGCTTGAGCCGAACCAGACAGGCTTTCCAATCATGTGCCATCTTTTGTTTCAAATCCTGTCTTTTCTTCTTTTCTTTATTCCTTTTTTTTATTTTCTTTTTCCTTTTTGATGGGCCCAACTTTTATTTATTATTATTTATTTATTCCGTAGAAAATTATAGATTCATCTACACGTCAGTATCGTAATCTTAAAAAACAAAAAAAAAAAAAAAGGGGCCTTTTTTTTCTTTAATGAAACAATATCATATCACTATTGACATTAACGACAACTTTGCTTCTATCTATGTCAATCCAGTTGGCTCATCAAGCTTTATGTGCCATTTTCCAAATGATTCTTTTTTATTATTGTTATTATTTAAGAAAATAATTAATTGAGTAATTTATAGATATTTTGAATTTGTAAGCAACATTGCATGTGATGAGATGAGCTCCCCAATTTGTAGAGTTCTGTGTTGGGTAAGATTTGATGTCCGTCAAAGGAGGAAAAGGGCGTTGACCTGAAATTTGTCTCAAAGTCAATACGTCATCCCACAATCCAAACCGGATCTGAACTGGTCGGACAGTGCTAGTTTCGTAAATAACAGTGATGATGAAGGGTAGTGGCGGAAGGTCGACCACCGGGCGAGCGGAACGTTTAAATGCGGGCAGTGGGAAAGAAGAAATTCAGAGGGGAGAGAGCGACTGGTGACGGTTGCCCACAAAAATAAATGCAAAGAAAATTAAGGCCCACTTTCCCCCAGATTCAAACCCTAACAAAAAATGCTCTCTTTTTCCCCTTTCTTTTTTTCAACTTGAATTTCCTTTTCTAGGAACAAGCTCCGAAATTTTAACCCAAATCTCTCTGTCATCCTTCCTCTTCTCCCAGTTCGCCGGAAGCTGAACCCGATCGCCGGCGGTGGTCCTCCCATTCTATATTTAGCTCTGTTTTGTCATTTTTGCCCTTTAGATCTATCTCTTGTTCAAAGATCATGTTCGCCAGTGGCGCTTCTTCTGATAGAATTTCCCTATTTTTTTACCCTTTTTTGTTTTTGTTGCGTTCCGAGTGTATGTAGCCTACATTATTTATTTTGTTCTTTTTGTAAAATACTTCATTTCTTCTTATCTCTCCCTCTCTCTCTCTCTCTCTCTCCCGATTCTTCTCGTGCTTAACCCTAAGGTTTGCCTTTGAATCTTCGGGGGAGGCTCATGGGACCAAGCTTTAGAGTGAAGTTCATTTGAAATGTGTATATGGGTCGAATTGGTGATTTTTGTCTGTGAGTTATAATTTGAATTGCACTGCTTTTGGAGGTATGAGCTGCTTTTCTTGCATTCGCACTCGTTGTAATGACGCCAGCAAGGTCGAAATTGACAATGGTAAGAACTTTTGAGCTCAATTTTGAGGTCAAATTCACTGAATCTTAGATGTTTTATGATTTGTAAACTTCCAACTTTTCGCAGATGGTAATTGGCCGATGCTGCCTCTTGTTTCCTTCTGCTAAAGGAAATGGATTTGTAAAAAGCTTTGAATTTGAATTTGAATTTGAATTCGTGTGCAGAAACTGGAAAAGGGAAGGAATCACAACCCAGAAGTGGAAACAACCGGAAATGTGGGGCTGCTCGAAGCTTCCCGTTTCGCGAATTGGCAACGGCGACCAGAGGTTTCAAGGAAGTGAACTTGATTGGTGAAGGCGGGTTTGGAAGAGTTTACAAAGGCCGATTAGAGTCAGGCCAGGTTGTTCTTGCTGCTTCCTTCTTGTCTGCTAGATCGGCTAAAAAACATAATGTGGTTTTGTTTTTCCTGTGATGTTGAGCTTCATGTTTATGCAATTTATCATTTGCTTTCTTGAGCAGGTTGTTGCTATTAAGCAACTCAATCACGACGGTCTTCAAGGATTTCAGGAATTTATCGTCGAAGTTCTCATGTTAAGCCTATTGCATCACTGTAATCTTGTTACGTTGATCGGTTACTGTACCGATGGAGACCAAAGGCTGTTGGTATACGAGTACATGTCGATGGGAAGCTTGGAAAACCATCTTTTCGGTAAATGTCAATAAATCTTTACTCCGTTCTTATGCTCGAACCAAAAGATATTAGGATTTCTTGAAACTTATCCTGTTCTTGAGCCTGAGGGATTCAAGGGAGAGGTGAATAACTTGGAGATAATTTCAGTGTATTTCGTTTGTAATTCTGGTCGAGTTATAGGCTTATGTATTTTGATTTCAGGTTTGTCCCCCGAACGACCGCCATTGAGTTGGAACACTCGAATCAAAATTGCTCTTGGTGCAGCCCGGGGCCTTGAGTATCTTCACTGCACAGCCAATCCACCGGTTATCTACCGTGACTTGAAATCTGCAAATATCTTACTGGATGACGAGTTCAATCCAAAGCTCTCGGATTTCGGACTGGCCAAGTTAGGACCGGTCGGTGACAACACCCATGTTTCTACCAGAGTGATGGGAACATATGGTTATTGTGCTCCGGAGTATGCCATGAGCGGCAAACTTACTCTGAAATCTGATATCTATTGCTTTGGTGTGGTTCTCTTGGAGATAATTACAGGTAGGAAAGCAATAGACACCACCAAGAAACCTGGAGAGCAAAACCTGGTTGCTTGGGTAAGTTCTCATATTCTCCTTCGTAAACGTCTACCGCCTTTTTCCCAATCATTTATGTTTCTGTAACTACTCGTACCCCGCCTTTAGCTCGGTCGTTATCAGCTTTTGATGCCATGTGTAAACAGAATTGAACTGGTTGTTGGTTTGGATGACATATTAATTGAACTGGTTCGTCCCACGTCCCTCCTTGCAGTCTCGCCCGTTTATTAAAGACCGGAGGAAGTTTGTTCACTTAGTCGACCCACTACTAGAAGGATGCTACCCTGTTCGTTGTCTACACCACGCGATCGCAATTGCTGCAATGTGTCTCCAGGAGCAGCCAACATTCAGACCAATTATCAGTGATATCGTCGTGGCTCTTGAATACTTAGCTTCTCAAAGTTGCGCATCAGAACAACCGAGAGACGGGGCGGCGCCTAATCCCTCCAAACTATCCCCTCAACAAGACAGGAGTCATGGAAAGAGCTCTACATCCAAGTAAGGCTGGCTGCTGTACAAGTCCTGGTATAGCTCTATAAGGTATCAAATCAAATCAGTTGTCTCAGATTATTTCTCATCCATCGAAATATCGCTCACGAAATATCGTTTGTTCGTGAGTTGAATCGGAATGTGGTTTGAGTTGTTGCCTTTGGTGTACTTGGTTGCAGATGAATTTGCAGCTGCTGGCTAGTTAGCTAAGCCCCCGGCCAACTCCAATCTCCTGTTTAATATGGACTTTTGCTTCATCCTTTTCATCTTCATCGAATTTCTCATTGGGCTCCACAATTTATATCATTCAAATCAGATTAGATCAGATTCTTTGTTTGATCGATTAACGGTCAATTTTTTTTTTTAATTGTGAAAATCTGTAAAAGCATCGAAGAATTTCCGTAGACTAATGTGAACAAATATATTTAGTAATATGGATCCAATGATTATGGGCTTAATAATAGTAAAGCCCAGCCCATATGGTTAAGATAAATTGAATTGGGGCCGCCAATTGGCCCATTTAAGTAGACATGCGGCTTCGACGGTTACGAGGTCTAAAACAAATGTCCCAAATCCCAAACCTACGGCTCCGGTGATGCTCGCAAATTGTCTGAATGTTCTTTATGATTTGCGTTGGTAATTGGTTTGGGTTGCATCGAATTGCCAGGCTGTAGCTTTAATGGAGGGTTCTGTTTCATTCGGCGTCACCCATCCATTAATGTTATTGTTACCAATTTGTACACGTGCGTGCTTCAACATGGGGCATGTGGCGATGATGGCGTCAAATGAGTAGCAATGGTGACCATAAATGCCTCACCCACACCCTCTGTTTCTGAAAACTCCCCAAACCCCACAAACACCTTTTCCTCTTTTCTTTTCGCTCTGCAGTGTTGCCTGTCGTGTGTGCCAATTTGGTAATGCCTTCTCCAAATTAAAACACTGTTTCCGCCCACTTCTTGAGTTCATCACTTGCTTTCATCATTACTCCTCGATTACTCTCCCCTTTGCTATTCGATTTTATTTTTAAATCTGAAAAATATAGAGATTAGGTTAAGTACTTAAAAATAAAATATTGTATAATTTCTAGAAGGATGCTAATATGGCATATAATTTTTAAAATTTTATTGCGTGTTGGGTTGAAAAGTGCGGTGGTTGGGTTTTTGGAATTTGCACATCAAGTCCCACACTTTCTCGTATTTTCCCACTAAACCCAACCACCAATTAACTCAAAATCATTTCATCAATTTTTACTAATCATTATTTATTTGGTTTTTTTTTTTCTTTTTTCTTTTTTCACACTACTTTTAAGTGAATAGAAAATTAGTTGGGTTTATTTGATATGGTTCAGAATTATAGCTTTTTGGGTACTCAACAAAATTATAGCTTTTCTGATGCTTTTTCGAATAATTTGAGGAAAAGGTTCAAACAGTCAGCTCGCCTCTTCCACACTTCCAAATGTGGCTATTTTTAATATTGGTAAATTTACCTTCTTTCTTTTTTTTACCCTTATTCATTCAACTGAGAAGTCAAAAATAGAAGAGAAAGGATTTACCTGAAAAGCTTAATTCACCTCCTCCCCCTTGGTATGGTCATATTGGACAAGAGGTTAAGGCTTGACTCGGGGGCATGCACACTTATCATATCCGTGTGCTGTTTGATGTGATTCCCTTTTAACTTAATTCACAGATAAATTATCTTCATCTAATATAAAATGTATGCTTTGGTGAACACTACTCCTCGTAGAAAACACTTGCACTCTTTATTAAAATAAATAAAAAAAAAACATATTATAAAATTACAGATA